AAAGTTCAAGGTTTGTGCGGGTCCCCCCGCCCCTCCCCTCCCCCCCCCCAGGGAAAGCGAGGAGCGAGGCGGGGCAGCGCGCCCCTCTGCTGAGACCTGAGAGGAGAGAGTGGTGGCCAGGCGCTGCTGCGGGCTGGCCCAGTCCCTCTCCATCCTACGTGTGCGGTCGGGAAGCTGGAGTCGACGCCCCGAGCAGGAAGAGACCGGGTCAGGGCCCATTAGCCGGCTCTGCCGTTCCCTCGCTTCTCCAAGCCCCATCTCCATGGGGCAGTCGGTTCCGGCCGCGCCACCCTCGCCCCAGCTGCCGAGCCGCTGCTCGGGCAGGTGGCGCTGAGCCGGCCTGTGCTGAGCCCGGGCCCTGGTCGAAGCTGGAGAGAGCGCGCTGGAGAGCTGAGCAGAGAGCTCTGCGAGGGGACAAACATCTGGCCACCCGACTCGGGCATTCCGTCTGGGCGTCGCCTAGGGTGGTGGCGACCCGCGCCACCGGTCTCAGCAGCACGACACGGAAACTTTTCCTTCTCCGGATGGATTAAAGTTGCCCGCATTTTCTCTTTCTTTGCGAAAGAAATCATTCATTTGTACCTGACCTGGGATTCTTATGCTCGGGCAGCTGCAGGGAGCTTGGAGGAAGAAAGCCGCGCTATCCATGCGGGGTTACTACCGAAACCGAGGAAATTGGGGCTTGCTTTGGAAATCGGCACCCTCGAGCGAGTTCGGATTCAAGCGGGGCCGCGAGGCTGGGGGAAGCAGCACTCGGCTCTAGGCAGCTCCCGGGACGCCCGAGGCCACCGGGCTCCGGGACCGCACGTGCAGCTCCCCCCTCGCCTCACAGATCCTGCAGGGGGCACCAGCCGGGAGAGGTGGAGGCTCCTCCCGCCCGGAGCTGCGCCCCCACCAGCTCCGAGGGTGTAGCCGGCGGCGCCTGGGACGCCCCCTCCCCGCAAAGTGTCCCCGAATTGCATTCACTGTCCCCCAAAGCTTCAGCAGAGACAGACGGGCGCCACGGCCACCCTGAGTTGGATGTGACCAAGCCCAGCCTGAAGCTAAGTCGTCGTCTACTGTTGTCCCCTCGGACCCTCCTTCCCCCGCCTCAGCCATGGCCCCGGGGATGTTGGGCAGCGGCGGCGCCGCCCTGCTCTGCCTCTCCGCGTTGCTCGTCCACGGTAAGTGTCGAGGCGCTGACTCGGGGGTGAAGATGCGGCGGGCGCCACTGGAGGGGGCACAGGGAGGACTGGAGAAAGAACCCCACCCCCACCCCCCTGGACTCGCAGCCGCCGCTCCCAGCTTGGCGTCTCGGGCTGCGGCTCGAGTTACCGCCAGCGCCTAAGACCTCAGGCAGGAGCCGAGGCTGCGAACCCCGCCGAGGGGAACGAGGCCGGCCCGGGAAAGGGAAGGGGAGAGGGGATCGCTCCAATCCTCTCCAGATTAGAAAGAAGAGTCTGGGGGCGTGTCCGCCCACGGATATCTAGGGGGATCGGAGAGATCCTTTAGATGGCGTCCCGGCCGCCCCACCCCCCAACCCCCCCAAATCTCTCCTGCAGCGGGCCTGGCTGGGGACCG